ACCATCTTGATGGTGTATAGAGCCAAAGATGTTAGAATTGTGTCGATGTCCCAATATTTCTGGACCTGACTGAACCATCTTGATGGTGTATAGAGCCAAAGATGTTAGAATTGTGTCGATGTCCCAATATTTCTGGACCTGACTGTATATAATAGAAATATATCTGTTGTGGCAAAAAAATAGGAAGTAGTGCAGTGTATATCTCTTTGAATTCCTGGACAAAATATGTGATACAAATCTAACAAATAAATATAAAAATATGGGTCTAAATGATATGAGAAGATTTTACTTTTTTTTGTATCAATAGTGAATATATATTTAGTGCAGTGGGCTCAGAAGAATAAGTGAAGATAAAAGAATGAATGAATGATGTTTTTCTCTTTATTATTTTTTCTTTCTTTGCTGTTATTTTAGAGGCCCAAGATGTAGAGCTAGATTTGAATATATTGGAGACCAGAAAGATGAATTAAGTTTTTCAGAAGGTGAAATTATTATTTTGAATGGGTATGTCAATGAAGAATGGGCCAAAGGAGAGCTGAGAGGTACTTCTGGAATTTTTCCCTTAAACTTCGTGGAAGTTATTGAAGATCTATCCGAATCAGGTAAAAACAAACAACTAACCAACTGGTGAACAAAAACAGCATCTCACAGTAAATAACTAATGTGTCCAAAATGTGCTATTTAATAATGCACAGAGAGTGAGATGTTTGTTTGGGATATAGAAGAGCACATACCAAAACCATAGGGTTAGAAATTCTAGCCTTCTTCATTGATACTTGATATATTAAATAAATCAGTATTCTCTGCATTATTGGTCATGCTGTGCCTGTCTTAACATGAAAGCACAATATTAAACGTGTCTATGCTACAGCTACACACTGAAAGAATACAGTATAAGCTGGGTCATAGAACTTCTACAAAATTTTATATTGGCTATTGTACGCATGGGTGTGATCACCAGTGTTAGGTTGCATTAAGATTCAGTGCATTGTGTCTTATCATCCAATCCTAAGAGTGTATAGTCCCCAAAATACCTGGGCCAAAGAATGTCAGAAATCACATGCTTCATCTTATGTTAAGGCAATTTGAGAGGGAGAAACCATCCTAAAATGTATCAGTACTAACATACCTTTTACTGAAATGCACCTCTCAGGTCTACAGTCCATTTTCTATACCACTCAGGTTTTATCTTTTTCCCTTTTAAAAGCAATGACAGGGTGGGATAGAACAGAACTTTTATAGTGAATCAAATTATATGAAGAAACGATGTTCACTTTACATTATTTGTACCAATATAATTCAGACTTACTCAGAGAAACATCCTCTGCCATTTTTAAAGTAAATGTATGCATATATGTAGGTCTTTTAAGGACATGGAGTCTGTGATTGGGTTCACATATAACACTTAAACATGATGTAACCTTGCTTTGTTAAATAAACCTGACCTGGCTGGGTTCACTGAACACACTGATAAAGTGGACTGTATAATTTATAGATCAGTTAGTTACAGTTTATTAACCACAGTGACTAGGTTTGTCCAATATGCAAAATGTAAAACAACAAACGACGTTATTGGTTAGTGTGACAAGTGAATCCAGTCATTCTGTTTCAGATTTTCAACAATTGTTTCTTGGAATTGTTCTTTCTCTTTATGTATTATATTATGAGTATTACAGGCAGAGACTATTTAAACTCTGTACAGCATTTAAAAAATTACTCTTTGTATGATGTTTATTTGTTATTTTTTTATATAGGTGATGTTGGTTTCTCACTGAGGAATAAAAATTCAGGACCAATAACACAGGTAATGTATTTATCATTTTATAGCATGTAATTAACCTGGCACAATCTGTTATTCAAATGTACTTTATAAATGTACTAATATATATGTTAGAAGAAACCAAAAGATTCACTAACTTTCTTTGTGCATTGCAGGGCAAAGAGTTTTTCTTACAGTTTAAGTAATTAATCTGTTTTAATCAGGGTTGTTTTCTCAATAACACTAGAAAGTTTATATCTCACATATATATGTTTTCTTTGTTTTCACAGCTGGAAGAACAAGCTGGGCAGTGGTGTGATGCTCTTCATGATTTTACAGCAGAAACTCAGGAGGACTTACCATTTAAAAAAGGAGACCATATCTTGATATTAGAACACTTGGATTCAGAGTGGTATAGAGGGAGGTTAAATGGAAAGGAAGGCATTTTCCCAGCTGTGTTTGTTCATGTTTGTTCAGGTACAGTGCTGAAAGAAAAATGCATATGCTTTGATCCTGTTTTACCGGAGGTAAAATTAGTGCACAGGTCATATCACCATGTATCTTCCGTCAGTGCCCCAAGGTCAGATACAAAGAAGGAAGAATGTATGTAATACAACTAACTAACTTGCTTGGAGCACTGAAGAAAGATACCTGGTGATATGATCTGTGCGAATGAAATGTTTAAAACTTTCCTGTTTTATGTCTAAGCCTGTATTCCTGTGGTCATTTTGATGATGGGAACAAAAATAGGTCTTCCAATATTCTGTGGGATTAGTTAATGGTATACTACTGATTATAAATTGAATAGTATTAATATATATCACCTAAGAGTTTTGGCTGTACAGTGATTCATATGAATGAGTGAATGAACGAATGAGGAAATGAATTCCATAGAGTATAAAATGGCCACACAGTCTGTACAAACCATTGTGATACCTGTTAGTCATTTAAAATAAAGAGATGTTGCCTGTTAAATCTTAACATGTAGTGAATCTCTTCAGTTTCAGGGATTGGCCAGGCTGGAGATTCATGGATATGCTTTTTTGGGGGGGAGGGGGGTATATAATTTTTATTAAAGATTTTGATTACAATAGTAAAAACTAATACAAACTAAACTTAAAAGAGAGAAGATAAAGAAAGAATAAAAACACAAGAAAAAAGAAAAAGAGAAAAGAAAGAATATGATAAACTAGAAAGAAATATATAAAGAAGTGATTTCCAACCTTCATCACAAGAAGTATAGACAAATTTTATAATTCTTCACTCCCTATAAGGTTACAACAAATCTCTTCCCCATATCCCATCTCTTATCTGTAAGATAAAAATCAACTTTTCAATCCTGGTGTCAGCCAAAAGTCTGTAAATGGTTGCTAGAATTTTGCAAAAAAAGTTTTATTTTAACCTTGATCAAATAAAGCAAATTTATATCCCTTCCCTTTACTTCTAACAGTCTTAATCTTTAATTCAATCAATTATTGTCATAGGATTTGATATCTCTTCAGTTTTCTTTATCCCATCACAGAAATTTCTTCAAGGCTTTAACAAGCCTCTTTGGTAGATCCAATAAGAGAATATTTTCCAGCTCATTCTCTTGGTTTATAATTTGCATTTCCCTTTTAATTTTTAAAGCTTCAGCCATTTTCTTTTGTATATCCAGTAAAGTGTCCTTTTCCAATTCATCCTCTAAATTGACTGGTAGCATAACATATAGGACTTGACAAAAATCAATAATAAATGCTTTCTCTGTCATGTCATACAGAAAAGCATGATGATGATGATATACCCACAGTCTGCCATCATAAATTACATAGAATGTACTGTAATGGTTTAATAGCAAATTTACTGTCTTCTGTTGGCATGGCTAGTGTACGCTGTACCCTGATCATGAGCATACCCTGGTGGTGAAAGCTGGAATGGTTTAGATATCAATTAGAATTCCAACTGTAATTTGGTATTATTCCAAGGCAGTTTTCTTTGTTAATTATCCAGGTAAGAAATGAAGATTTATGACATGAAAAAGTAATTAGTGCTTGCTTTTGTCCAATATGAGAACATGGTTTTATTTTCCTTTGAAAAATGAACAGAAATTATATTTTTATTCATATTTGATAATTAGTAAAACACCATGTTTTATTATTTAAAAAATGGAGGTAGATTTTTTAAAGGAAAAAGGCGTAAGTTAAACTTGCAGTATCTTTATGTGTATGCGTGTATGTTTGTGTATCATGAATAAGATTTGTGCTCTTTATTCTCTTCACTCAGTTAATATCAAATCAGACAGATTAAGATGGATAGAATTTTTTTTTCCTTATGTTATCCCAAAGATAGCAATTTAATTGGATCGTCATCTTTTACAGGTGGAACACAGTCATCACAACCTCAGGGAGGGAAGAAACCAAAAGCTAAGGCCCTGTATGATTTTCATGCAGAGAACATAGATGAACTTTCTTTCAACGTAAGCATTATATAAACACATAATTCTGTTTATACTAAATTGCAGTGGCGCGATATGGTTCATGGGGTCACGAAGAGTCGGACACGACATAACAACTGAACAACAACAACAGAAGTCATATTGTATCATTGTGAAAATGCTGTCCTGCATTTCTTCTGCAACATAAAATTTAGGGAATTTGTTCAAAAACAGGGTTTATTTCAGGTTGATGGGAAGCTGCTTCTGAAGTATTATTCCTAGATAGTTAGTCTCATTGGATTCACAAATAATAAAGCGTTCACCCTAAAGTTTGTGTCTCAAAGATTCAGATTGATCTAAATTGATACTGGCAAGTGGAAAAGGGCCATCGTTTAGAGTGAATAGTTACATGTAAATTCCAGTCTTTAAATCTTAGAATCTCAAATTTCAGGATTTTTTTTTTTCCCTCAAAAATTCCTGTTTTAAAGTAGAAGAGTTAGAACAAGCAACCTACAAAGAAACCCACTGTTGGGCTTAATCTAAAATCTTGATTTAGTATGTGTGGACCAGCCAGAAAATAGCTTCCTCTGTTCCTGTAATGAACTGAATGCAATTGAAATCTGGACTGATGTTCTGCTATAACTGTCACCATAACCCATATAAAATACTTCAATGAAACTCAGCAAGTTGCTTTATTTTTTTTGCTAAGAGTCTATTCTAATTGTCTTTCTTATTAGATAGGAGTTCTGTAATTGCAATTGCAAATATTGTCCCAACTTGAAACACTTTTCCTAAAGAATTACATATGGGGCCTACTTTGAAATCTTTTCAGTGCCATATTAAGACATTTTGTTTACCTAGTATAAAAGTGTGTTTTCTTACCCATTATTTTGGTCTGATATAAAACTAATGAAAAAATTAGCAAAGTATCACCAGGGAGAAGAAAGAGTCTACAGTTTTTGAGAGTACAGAGTATGTGTGAAGGATATTATGAAAAACAAATAATATTGGTTTCAATTTCTGTTTCAACAGGTTGGTGACATCATAACAGAACTAGAATCTGTAGATGAAGAATGGATGAGTGGAGAATTACAAGGCAAATTTGGAATCTTTCCAAAGAATTTTGTCCAAATTCTACATCTCTCCTAAGGTGAAATCCAGTTCTGGAGCATTGTTTTTACAAGTGAATACTTTATTGGAAGAGAAGCATGTTATATTCTGGGTAGCAGAGAGAATTTGATCTAGACTATCAAATGCATTTTTGCACTATTTTTATAAAATATATACTAGACTGTACAATATTTTGTTTTTAGTTGATACTGAGCAGAACTACACATTTCTTAAAAACAAAAGGAATACAAAGCCTTATTATTTAAACTAGGTGCATTTTAATCATTTTATATTCTCTCTAAAGTCCAATGAATTCTTAAACACTGCTCAAGTAGCTTCTTATTTACAGTACACATCCCACACTATAGATAGTGAGTCAAGTTTTCAGAAACTGAAAGAGTTTTGCCATATGAAAGCAATAAATCCTGATATATAAATAAGATTAACATGGAAAAAAGTTTGGGCTTTTTTTCTTTACTTAAACCAAGTAAATTAAATTACTTATGAATGCATCACTTTTAGTCTGGATTGAAGTATCCTGAAATGACTGGATTCTGTGAATTAAAGTGCCTTACACTAGGACAGACCATTAGTCTTTTTAATCCAGTTTTCTATCCTAGCTGCTAATGGCTTTCCAGGAACTTTCAAACAGGGTTGATTCCCAGCACTTGCTCCCTGATCCTTTTTAATGGATATGTGCAAAATATGTACAGTAGGGCTGTGCAAAGCAATTGAATGAGGACCATTGCAATGTACAGCAGATACAAAATGCCTGCTTTGGTTAAAAGTATCTTTTTCAAGTCTCATACTGCTGCTTCAGAAGCTGTTCTGAACGATCTCCACTTGCACATCTATACTCTTTAATGCTTTGCCCAGTTCTAATGTATAACAATTGTATATTTTTTATGATAAGAAAGATTGGTAACTTTTCTTATTACTTTCAGCAAATAAACTTAAAACTACAGAGATTCCTTACTTTCTGCAGCCAGTGGGTTCTGCTCTGTCATAACCTTAATTTATATCTAGAGTGGTTCTTCAAGGATTCATCTTTCTTCTTGGATCCTTTATTCTCTGATACCATTTTGGATCTTTAAATTGTGTGATGCTACCCATTGCCTTATTCTTCTTGAATCTGTTTTCAGGAATTAAGTATGTTCAGAAAACTATCAGTGCTAAGTGATGGAAGAATATGTTTCACAGGCCTTGCTACCATGACTAACCTTACAAAAGTAGATATACTACAGCCTGTGTTGTCTCCTCAATCTCCAACTTTGTAAATGTAATTGAACATAAAAAAAAATGCAACTTAAAATTAAACTTCCAAGTCCCATTTTTGCCCCATAGTTACCCAAGATTGCATTCTTTAAAAAATGTGCTCTGATTTCCTGTCAGTTTTACCAGGAACTAATATTAAATGTTTTGTAAACTCTGAGGCTTAATGGATCTAAAACATAGTTCCTTCTATCTCTCAAAACCTAAATGAGTAAAATGGGTCCAAAATCCATTCTTTTCCTGCTCTAATACCAATATTACATTTCTCCTTTTTGCTGTGGCTTTTTTTTTGGGGGGGGGGAAACCCCTGTAGTTAATTACATAGTCACAGCCTTGCCTATAATTATTGGAAACATTACTTTTATGTGTAAGAAATGCACATTTACAGGCACAGCTAGCAAGAATAAATTTAACTAGATAAATAATGAAAATTCAGTAGCTACTCCATCATGTGAACAACCTGATCCCAAAGGATGAAGAAAGGAAAATTCTTTCACAGTGCCATTTTTCCTCCAAACAAAGCCCTTTTGATAGTAGGGAGGGGGAGAAAAAAACATGCAGGAACAGCTTCCCTTTGCAGAACTCCTACACCTTCATTTTCCAGAACTAATAGCTAGCTGCTAAGCCACAAAACACATGATTCAGAAGCCGGACCATCATTGTAATAAGCTAGCCTACTGCAGTTTTGTGATTTGCAAGGAGTGCTTTGAGTACAATTTCACCAATGCTTTTAATTAAGGCTATAGTTTAAACCAAATTACACTTTGGTTTGAGGTTTAGCATATTGTGTACCAAGTTATCTTTACGTTAGAGGACAAAGGCCATGAAAAATCTTAAGCCGCATTTTGCTTTTGATTCAATTAATGTGTTGCTTATTCATAAAATGGCAGTAGTTTCCTATTTTAATTTTTTGAAGCTTCCTTTATGCACGCTTCCTGTTCTCAGTGGCTTGTTTTGGTACTTACAAATGGGACTATTTAATGGACAAAGTTGCTAATATTAACCAAGATTTCTATTTAAAAACTGGATGAAAGAGGAAAATATACACCTGTTCAGGTAATTTTCTTCGAATGTTATCTTCTTCCCTAGGTTGTGGTCATTCTTTAAGAATAAAATAGCTACATGATAAAAAAATGGATACATAATCAAAATTTAGCTTTCCAGTAAGGAGATATAGAAGATAAATTACATGAACATAGTGTTATCATTAAGTAGTGTGAAGTTGGTTAGTGAAGCAGAACCCACCACTCACAACAGCAACCCTTGTTACTAACATGTTTTGCTATTTTTTTTTTTTTTAAGAATGACGGATCATATTTTCTATATATGTCAACTGGAGTATTTAGGCTTGTGAAAGTCACTGGAAGTATTGACTGAAAACCAGTATCTACCAAACTGAATGCAATGTTTGTTAAAAATGATGGCTTTTATAATTTTTATACTCATATTTTCAGATTTTGTATTTTCCCATATTCATTCTCAACATATAATTTAGAAGTGACTGAGAAATGGTGGTTGTTTGGTGTTACTAATGAAAATACACTAATTACTATTTCCTAAGTTAGCAGTAAATATGGCTACTTTTATATCTATCATTGTTTAAAACAAGCAAGCATCCAACAGAGCAAGCTTTGTTATCTTACCAATCTATGTATACAGATTGTCAAATACAACTACTTCACTTGAGGAGTGCCATCTAAAGGGCTTTTAATACAGTGTTAACAGTGTAAAGTTGAGAAGTACTAATGACATTCCCATTTAAGAAACTGGTATCAGTTTCTAGAATGAGGCCATAAAGTATTATAGATCACGTGCTATAAAACTTTGAAATAAATACAACAGAAGTACAGCAGTTAGCTGAAGATACAAATACATTAAGTATTTATAAATGTAAACCAGGTTATTATAGTAGCTATTTAACCTCCAGATCAGTTTAATACATTTCTTCAGATATTACAGATGTATATACAATAAATACTTCGCTTCAGGAAATTGGGTTTGTTGTTCCTCAACTTTATGGCACCATTGCATTTGTATATAACCAATAAATGTGTTTGTCCCAAACAACTGAACTGTGCAAAATGGAATGAAATTTATCATGAATGAATACAGTCTTAAACAACTACACAATTAACAGTTCTCTTTCATTTGATTTAGTGCACTAAAGCAGATTCTCTAAGGCTTCAAGCGATTGGGAATCAAGGCCCAGAATTCACAGAACAAGTAGCTGACAGATTAGTGGCACAGAATTAGCACAAAGTCCCAATTAAGCACAGTATTACAGTATAAACATGAACTGCAGAGTGCATGCCAGAGGCACCTGGAGGGTCCTTGAGTGAGTGGAGGAGGGTGTGGTGTGTGAGTCCGAGCGAAGGGGAAAGGCGGGTGATAGTGTGTGCAAGTAAGAAAAGGGGGAAGATGGGCACTGGTTTGTGCAAGCAAAGGAAGGAGGGAGCAGTGCATGTGAGTGAGCGAAGGGGGAAGGAGGGCAAAGAAGCCCAAGCCACAGCGTGGCAAGCAGCCCCTTACCTTACTGAGGCCCAAGGCTGGGAGGGACCAAGCCCAGAATTACTTGGGTAGGGATGGGTCCTCTGCTAACAACGGCAGTGGGTGCTGGGATTGCTGCTGTTAAGCAGTGCAGTCATATGTTTCACTTTACAACTGCATTGCTTAGTGACAGAAATTCCAGTCTCAATTGTGTCATAAGTCAAGGGTTACCTGTAAAATAAACCAGCTGAAATTGGTTTACGATTTCTAGTGTTTTTTTTTTTTAATAATCTGGCTTGAAAAGATGAATATTTTAAAATCTATTAATTACAAGGTAGATCCGCAACACATTACAATAATAATAAAAAATCTCATGTGCCCTTCCAGGATATTTTATCTCCTCCCCCCACATTATCAGCTTAGTACTTCTATATGAAGAGTGGACACTTCTCTAGCTCCCAATAGATGTTTTATACAAACTTATCTCTTGGCCTAGAATGCCCAAGATACTTACTGTAGCCTATTCTAGTCATGTTTTAGTTAAATACTTTTTATTCAATGAGATTTTCCATAGAAACATTACAGACTTAATCAGGCTAAGCTCAGACAATGAAGGAATTTAGCTGAAAATACTTACAGTATTGGAATGAAGTTTAAATGCTTCAGGCATTCTTCTAACATCTAAAACCATATACCATGCTACATGAAGGGCCATGAGCTTCTGCATTGGGGCAAGGAATGAGACAACTGCATGGAAGTGTCTTGACTGGAATCTGATCACAGAATGTACTTCCCATGGATTTTCAGGAATTCAGTCTTCCACCATCTTAGTCCACTACATTCAACAAGCATGCATGTCTTTACATTTTTTTTGGTGTGTTGAGTCAGTTTTAATTCCTAGCCACTGTCTGGACAAGTCCCTGCAGTTTTCTTGGCAAGATTTTCAGAAGTGGTTTGCCATTGTCTCTTTTCTGGGGCTGAGAGAGTGACTGGCCAAGACCACCCAGCTGGGTTTGTGCCTAAGGCAGGACTAGAACTCATAACCTCCCAGGTTCTGGTTTGATGCCTTTAATATTAGAATTTATTTAAACTGTCAATTAAGATGCAGGAGGAGGGGGTTTCCACTAAACTTTGCAAACTCTCAAAATGCGTGTATAATGTAGACATTAGTCTATTTTAGACTGCCCATAATCAGTTTTACAATTTAAGGAAACATTTTGTTCAGTACTGTTACAGCTGAATACATTAGCTACAACTTTTAAGAGACTAGAAGTAGCCTAACTATTACACATGCACTAGTAACCAAATTTCATAATAAATTATATGTGAATCACCTTTAAAAATACTGTAGCTTTGGTGTACTATTACCTGGATCTTTAAAAAAACAATGAAGCATGAAAAAAAATCAAATGTAGCTTGAATGTATCCTTTCTACAATGTTACTAACTTTATTGTTCAGATACCACCATTACCCAGATGCTTCCAGAAATTGCAACACTTCCATGAAATAAACTGAACATCTTCACCAATTCTGTTTCATCAGCAGATCAGTTGCAAGTCAAAGTATCTTAGCAAATTGCAGCATGAATATAAAATATGAGGAAATGTTTCATATAAAAGCACATTACCACACTGTCTATGTTAAGTTTTTTATTTTGTATCTGATTTATACAGATTCTTGCACAGGGGGCTCATATCCATCAGCTCGTTCTACTTTGGCACCAGTTTCATCGCCAGATGGCTTTCCAGCACCACCACCTTCACCATGCAGTTCCATCAATTTGCCCACTATAAATAATCAAGAATGTAAATTAATATATATAATTCTATACTAAGATTTTACACTTTTAAGGAATGATGCTGTATTTGCTATCAAAATATTGGCTATTCATTAGATATCTTACAAAAACCAGAAAATATTCTTTTTTTTTTTTAAGGGAATGTCAGCTTTGGGAAAAAGTAATCATTTCTTCATCTGGGACCGAAACAAAGTGTCATCATTCATTCCCACTTCAAGTAAATACAGTCAATGCTAACATACTATTTTCAATGACACATATGCTTACATTCAAACTTGGGCTTCTTGAGCATCTTGACTTTACGAACATAGACATCATGAAGGGGGTAGATTGACTGACATGCTTTTTCTATGTCTTTACCAATGCTGTCTGGAATCCTACAATTAAAAGAAATATTTTATTTTGAAATCTCCAAACTAGAAAGCTAGACAGAAACCAGCAGAATTACTAGTCACTAGGGCATGGATTAAAGCAAATATGTACTAACATTTTTTACTTCACACAGCTGTGGGGTAAAGAAAATAAAATAATCCTGTATCATAAACTGGAAACTGATCCTTTGCATTCACAAAGACACTTCAATTTATCATCTGAATTGTGACATTAAAGTGTCAATAACTGGATTTATACAACATGCTTAACCATGATTTGAATAAACACAGCTATATTCACACAACACACTAATATGAAGCAAAACAACCCATATTATGGATTAACCCTGCATGAAGCAAGTACAATGAGAACAGCATAATTCCAAGCTTGCCTGAATATAATACGACAGAAAGAATCTACCCATCATACTAAGCCATGAGGTACTTTATTTAATTTTAGCTTAGAATGTTATGAAATTGGAACCAGTCAATTCAGCTATTAAACCACTGCCTAAGTCCACTAAGTCCAACCAAATCTAATCCCATGAATAATCGTTACAAATATAAATTCTAACATGCAATTCTTTAAAAGAACACTAATTACTTAAGTTGTTATAGAACTTGAACTTGTTTTCATTAACATTTTTTTTTTTTAATCTGCGCTCAGTCGTTACCGACTCTGCAGTGACTGCTTGGACGA